ACTTTGCTTTCCACCCTGTACAATCATACAACAAAATCTGTGTTTTCCAACTTGTGTTGCTTCAGTGAGGGCCTGGTTTACACATGTTGATGCTTGTCGATAATTTTTGAAACACTTAGCATCAAGTTGCCTCTGCACAGATCCCCGACGAAGGAGTCGCCGGCTGAAGACGAGCAAGACGAAGAGGAACAGCTTGACGAGGACAATACGGACGTGGCCTCCTCCGAGGAGCAGACGATTAGCAATCCTTTCGTGGTCGACTCGCTTTCGCAGAGGGCAACGCCCAGTTACGTTAACATTAGACGCGCTCGCCCCTCCGCCTCCACCAGGTAAGTGAAAGAGAACACTGAGAGTTAAGAGGACGAAGTTGTTTCTTCAATGTCTCGCGGTGGAAATCCCTTAGAAACGAGAACGACGTTGAGGAGAAAGTAAAAGACACGGAGGGAGACGCGCCAATTGCCAGCCAACGCCGACGTCCCGGCGCGTTTCCAAAGTAAGTGAGAAAAAGAAGAAACGAGAAAAAGTTAAAACGAATACTAAACTTCTTTCGATTATAGGAGCAGCGAGAGCAGCTCTTCCGAGAGCATCGGCGATCAAGAGTCTCGTTCACCCGCGAGCGAGCAAAACCCACAAACGACTAAATCCAGGTTTCTAGACGAGCCTCCGCCATTTTGGTAAAAAAACATTCTTTGGTCTAACGTTGTTTAATTGTTCCTCAGGTACGTCAGCGTTCAAAGATTCAGAAGCACGACTCCATACTCGACGGAGGTCGCTACGAGAGATCCACCCACTAGCCAAGAACCGATCACAACGGAGTCGAGCGAAAAAGAAGACGAAGAAGAAGAAGACAATGAACAGGGAGAGGTCCAGAAGTCCAGAAACGATCAAAACGTGACGACCACCAGCACCACCGTTGCTACGAGTTCAGTGACAAATATCGTGTCCACGATCGGCTCGTCCTCTTCGACGCCGAACGATATCGTTATCGACTCGGAAACGGAGAAGCCGATTTCGACGACAACTGCAGAGGCAAGCTCGACCACGGTAAAACTCGTCGAGGATTCGGCAACGGAGATCCTCCTGACCACGGCGCCGGCGAGCTTGCCGGCCACGTTGTCGGTCCCGAGCGCGAGGATCGGCACCGCGTCGGTGTCTCAGCCGAGGCCTTTCGGCTTTAACCGAAGGAACAGACCCTCGGCCGAGTCCACCACCACACCGTTGCCACCGTCCACCGATCAGGGCAGGCCCAAGGTGAGTATATCGTCGCGAAAGCAAACGCGCCCGACCTCCCTCGCGGGATCGCGAGATCGATTAAGGCCGACCGCCGAGAACGAGAGGGCCGAAGCTTCTCGCGCGAGATCGAGAAACAGGGGAGCGAGCAGATACACGCCACCGACCTTCAGAGTCAAGAGCGAGAACGCGTCCGACACTGTATTATCCAGGGAACGCGCTCGAACTACCGAACCGACGGTCGGTACGACAGCGAACGCCTCGAAGAGACGACTTCGCCGACCGAGTTTCAAAACCATCGAGGAACCCACCAACGTAGCCAACGAACTGGAGGACAGTCCGATCGTGAGGATCCAAGCTCATCCCGGTTGGAGGAAGAGCTTGTCCCCCAGATCGAGGAACACGATCAAGGTGGACGAGACGGACAGTGAGAGGATCACGAACATAAAGGTGTTCAGGAAGCCGGCTGCGACGAACAGAGACCAGGTTCGCGCCAGGACCAGGTACACGAGGAAGAGGAACAACGTGGAGATCGGTGAATTGCAGGCTGTCGACGAGAAAAGATCTTGGAAGGATGTCGTAACTGTAACTACGAGCAAACGACCGACGATCGTCAATTCCTCCGCAGATGGACCCCCAGTCGACGAGGGTCCTGTTCGAACGACCATGCCGCCGACGGAAGTGCGAGAAACAACTCAAACGATCGAGGCGAGCACGCAGATCGAGGCTGTTCGCAACGTGGAACTGGCAGTGGAGAACGAAGTGATTCCAGTGACGGATGATCGACTCGACGCTAGCCAAGGACACACGACGATTACGACTTCCAGCGACGACGTCAAGCTGGAGAATTTTGACCCGAACGTGGTTAAAAACGTGCTTCCTGCGAACAATACCGAAACGGCACAGATCGGCGAAGAGAGTATAAACGCTGTCGTTCCCAGACGCAGGAAAATTTTACTAAGAAGACGGCTCGTTACATCATATGGGGAGGAGCAGAAGAAGGAGAAAGAAGAGGAGGAGGAGAAGGAAGAGGAAAATAAACCGATTCCTCGTAAAAGAAAAGTGATCAAGCGCGTTCGACTAGCTCCGAGTACGGCGTCCACGGTGGAGGACCAAATTCTGCTTAGATTTCGATCCACGACTCCCGCGGCAGATCCGACGAGCACAATCGCTGTCGAAACGTTGGACCTTTCCACGACAGAAACGATCGATGATTTCACAGGGGTCACGATGGAGACCTCGACCCCCGAGACTGCGACCGCCGATAACGCGGGTTCCTCCGATATCGACGTTGTCACGGTAGCCTCGACGATCGTCGATAATGTCACTGCCGTCGCGGAAACTGCTGGTGCAACGGAGTCGACAATGGCGGCCAAGTTTCTGATCAATCTCACCGAGGCGAACGATGTGTCGAACCAACCAACTACCACCGTGCCAACTGTCAGTACGCCTTCGATCTACGTAGATCCTCGATCCTTCAGTCCCAGATTAGAAATATACAACAGGACGTATTACTTAGATTCGAGATACGTGAGGAAAAAATTTGTACGCAGACGGCCGGTCGGTACCTCCTCCTCCTCGGAAAACGTTACCAACAGTCGGTATTCAAACTTGGAAACCTCGACCAGCGTGCCTGTAATCAACGACAAGAACGAACTGGCGGGGTTGTCGAAGCGCAGAAAGACCCTCTTCGTTCGTCGTAGACCGGTCTCTTTTACAACCGAGAACGGGCGAGCAACGGGAAATGGAAACAACTTTCCCATCGAAAAGGAAAATAAATTCGACGACGAGAAAGAAACGTCACGCAACGTCGAGAGTGCCACTCCGAGGATCGATGAAACTCTGTCCATCGAAAGAGAATCGGAAGCATTCTGGAGTCACTATATCGCTCCATCAGTTGAAAGAAGCTCGTCGTCGCTCGACGAAAAAAGAGAATCGTCTCTCAATAACAATCGATCGCCAGAGATTCGTTCTCGTTACAGAACAACGGAACCTCCCAGAGAGAGTCTTCATTCTTTCGACTCGTTGCCGGAGGAGTCCGAGGAGTCGAACGATCCCAAGTACCCCAGGTACCAGAACTTCCGTCAGCCGAGGACGCGTTACAGGTACCGGTTGGTGACGAGGAATCGAGAGGAAGAAGCCGAGGAATCGGTCGAGGACGCGACACAGTCGTCGAGTTTCGACTCCTCGGCGCAGGTGAGGCCGCTACGTTTGTACGGCAGGCGACCGGTTCCCAGCACGGAACCACCGGTCACGGAGACGCTGATCCCCGCGAAGAAGTTCGACTACGTGGCGGACGCTCACAGGCGGCAGCAGCAGTCTCTGCGAACGACCACTCCGCGGTCAGTTCACGACTCGACCGTCGTTTGGACGAGTTTCAGCGAGCAACGAGATAGCAACGAGATTCGAAACTTCGTGGAGGGCGATTACGCGGCTACGACGGCCCCTGCACAACCGCTGGTAACGAGGCTGGTCACGTCGGTGGAGGAATCGGCCACAACCGAGAGACAGAAGATTCTCATAAAGACGAAATACTCTTCGTTGACGTCGACCACCAAGATCCCTCTCACCACCACGTCCTCGATCTCCGCGTCCGTTTCCTCGGATAAATCGAGGGGGAATCGGGAGGAGCAATCGGCGAACGAGATACGCCAGGAGCAAGTCGAACGATCTACCTTACCGATCGAGGGTGAATTCCTTTATCAACCGCCGTTCACCACGGAATCCCACGAATCGTCCACGATCGAGATCGAGTCTGTGTTCAGCAATCTGATCGGGAACAGGGATTCTGCCAAGTGATCGTCATCGATAATGTACCACTTACACATACACGCCGTTATAGTAGATTACCATTGTTGATCCGTATCTCGTCAGAAATTCAACAACAGCAAGATGTCTAACGAAAAAAATTTAGAAACCAGAAGATATATAGACAAGATGATCGAACAAAAAATGTAGCTGACAACCAAGTTCATCAGCATAAGATCACCGTTACCAACACTTTCTTTACTCTCTCTTTCTCTCTATTTTTTTCTATTACACACACACACGCACAAACACACTCTCTCTCTCTCCTTGACATACACTTACACATATACACACACACGCTCTCCCTTTGCCTCTCTTCCGTTTCAGGACAGAAAGAAAAGATTGTCCGAAGAACGCCGAAAAGAGAGAGATCGACGAGAAAGGTGGATCGTGATTAAGCGTGCTACCCTCTTCTGATTTTCAGGTTGCCAGCTCGGAAGCTAATAGGCTACCAACACTCAAGGAACTAATCGGTTATCGAACGAACGAACACACCTTCGGCAGTCCGTCACCCGTTATATTGAACTTGTTCCCTCTGACAGTCACAGCGACGAACGAGGAGATCTCGTCGCGTGAAAAAGACGCGAACCGTATTGTCGAGGAGACAACGACAGTTCGAAACAACGGCAGTTCGACGTTCGATGACGCGATTTGGGTGCTGAACGACGATCGAAACAACGAGGAGACAAATTACGGCAAATTGCCAAACGATCTAGATCTATCCGCGTATTACGTCGAGGACGAAGGTGATGCCTCGTTGACTGGCAAAAAGAGGATCGATCGACAAGATTCGTCAACGACCACCAGCCTGAAACCCACCACTATGCGTGGCATCCCTTTGACCGACTTGTTGCAGAACCAAGTCCCGCGTGGCTTTTTTTACGTCACCAGAGGCGAGAAAATAGAGAATCTGCCAGCAGAGAGTAGAGGAAACGTTCCCTCTAAAGTGGCTGATAAAATCGAACGCGCCGAAGTTACGATCGTCAGCGATCGTAGGTGTGACGATGTCGAGGAAAATTCCAAGTGTTCGATCCAAGTTGCTCCGACTTTGACTTGGTCCGATCTCACCGTCAAGAATAGTGAAATCGATGTTGAGAAAGTGACAGTTGCGAGAGAAAGTAACACCGATTCCTTCACAGAGATCCCAAGTTCCGAAGAAAATGCCTCGATTTCTACGTCTGAGTCACCCGTTACATTCACTTCTCCATCAGAGTCTGTCTCAACAAACGCTGCCTTATCTACTGAGAACGTTGACGACGCTACCTTACCTACCGAGAACACTGACTTTGCTCCAACCTTTGCAGTCGAGGTACGATCTACCTTACCTACCGAGAACATCGACTTTACTCCAGCCTCTGCAGTCGAGGTACGATCTACCTTACCTACCGAGAATATCGACTTTACTCCAATCTCTGCAGTCGAGGTACGATCTACCTTA